AGCAGACCCACCTAGACAACAGTTGGGCAAGGCACCATGCTGTACAGGGCTTTAGAGGGGATAACCAGCACCCTGAATTGAGCCAAGAAATCTACAGATGCAATTCTACAATAGCGGCTTTCCCCAACTTGCTGACAGCCTGCTACATTCTGTCCTAATGAAGCTTCTAAATTACTTTCAAATGCAGCCCTAAGTTGAATACCCGGCAGTGGTCCACCTGCACAGGGATCAAGGGATGAGTTACTGTCACCAAGACCCCCTGATCTTGGTAAGGCAAGGCTGCAACTAATGCATCGAGCAAAGCCATCACCACACCCACACCCCAATATGGATGGGAGGGCATCATTAAGTAATGTCAGCATTTGTTGATGTTCTTCCAACCGTTCTCTCCTAGAGGCAGATGTTCAATGTTCAGGGGAGAGAATTAAGCCCACAATTCTCCCACTGGAGCTACTACAGGGTGCTCAATTGTGCTTCCCCCACAAATATTGAGTGGAGCCTCTTCATCAGAGAGAGCAGAATCACTGCACAACGGGGAGCTTCCACTCCAACTTCTGCAGGCTATCCTGAAGATACCATAGTCAATAGTTTCTAAGAGGATCTAGGAGGACCAGGAGAATGACTTCCTCCAACAAAGGTCATCCATCAAGGCAAACAATGCCATTTCCATCCTGAGACCAGACTGAATCCGATTTGGATTATCTGCTTCTTCCAAGACCTTCTACAGTTGTGACCTTTGCTAAGAACAGAAGGTTGGAGAAAGATGGAAGTTCTCAAAGATGGCTGGATTGAGAGATGGGTTCTTGATGGAGGCAGAGGGCATCTCCCCTTTCCCCAGAGAAGCATGAGCCACTTCACAATTCCAGCAGCATGCATCCTGCCTGACCTTATGACCGAACCAAGAGGGGCAAGGATCTAGTATGAATATTTTCTATTATTTTCCAGTATGCTTGAAAAACCATGGGGAGTCAAGCCTGATGATCCTTGGAGAGAAGACCACGAGAAAATGCCCAGTCTGCAGGCTACACTGGGAGTTCCAAAGAACATCCCTGCAGGCAACAGTGGGATGCCATATCTCTCTTCTTCCTCCCACGGGGCTGAATCCCTGGGCACAGAGAGAACGGGGAAAAGACAAACCAAAGATGCTTATAAACATTGTCTAGAATGGGAAAACCACAATTCCACCCCCAAAAAATATAAATGCAAACATCTGATTGCATAAACCAACCTTCCCCAGAAGCAAATCTCTAAGTCAACTGAAGAGTAATCATTTGCAGTTTAACCAATTCTTAAAGGAGGCCTGGCGAAAGCATCAGAGACTTCAGGGTCTTGCATGCGCTACGACCCTCAGACTGGACCCAGCGACACTGGCAAAGTCTTTGGGGAAGGCAAAGCTCATTCTTCAAATATGGTTTTCATTTTTAAAAAGGGACGTTCTTTGCAGCCTCCTGCAAACCAGGCGAGGGCGACACCCAAGTGCCCCTTTTGTACGCCAGCCATTGTGTTCCTCAGCTGACACAGGGCAAACAATGCAGCGCTGTTTCTACTGGCCTGAGAAGAGGATCGCAAGGTGCCAGGCGGTCAGAGGTCCCAGTAAGGCTCGGCTGATTCACTCAGAGCCCTGTCTCCATTCATGCATCAGCTTTAACCATTGTTCCTTCATTCCTGGGCATGTGATAAAACTGGATTTCAAATCCTTTAGTGCCCCCAATCTCTTGGGGGACCCAGATTATCAGGGTAATTCTGTCCTTTTATCACCTACTCTTGCATTTTAGCAGACAATCAGAGGCAGGCAGCAAAAATTCAGCCAACCACCAGCTGGTAGCAGAGACTTTGTATCCTCTCTATCTTTTGGCATCTGCTGCTTGTCAGTATTTTTGCAGCCCAGACCTGCAAATGCAATGTCTGATTCAGTTAATTTCAGAATCTTTTCTAGTCCATTTCATGCAGAAGATTACTTGATTGTATCTGCTTTTCTAAAATGCACAAGTTCCCTAACAAGTAAAAGTGCTTGGACAGCAACATTTAGCTCTGCAGTGCATCAGAACTTCTGTTGCCTGAAAGTTGCATCTAAGAACAATTGGGGGCAGCCTGCACAAAATAAGGACCATCAGCTGATACGCCGTCTGTTTAACGGAGGTTCTACTGTCTGCCATAAATGTCGGACCAGCCTTTACCGGAGGCTTTGCCAGCATGACCGTCCTGGCTGTGTACACTCAACCCTCTCGAGCACAGCAGGGTGGAGGGTGCGCCAAAGCTTAACATGTCACAGACAAACTGGGAAGCAGGTGGGCAGTTCCTACCGAGCTCTGAAATGACAGCATGCCTTCCTTCCGTCTGTTTATTTGCCCTCTCCTCTCCATTACTAGCAAACATAGAAGGATGTGACAAACCGACACGCTAATGTGCTCTTGCACCGCTTTATACAGGTGGCAGAAGTGAATTCTTTGCCACACAACTGCAGAGCCATTAAAGGGGTTGACCATAAGGCACACACAACTGTATCAAGAGCATCATTTTGCAACAGCTGTTAGTTCAGAGATGCATATTTCCCCCTCCATTCCTACAGCTGTTCCGGGACATTCTTTTCTCCAGTTTGTTTGGAGTTCATGAGATCAAGATTTGAGCCCCCTCTCCCCATCCTCCAGAAAAAAGTGCAACCTCCTTCTGGAACTCAAAATCCTACTGGGTCTCCCCACCCCCACCCAGTGCTGTATTCCCAGCAGATGTCACTTAAGTTTCCTAAAGCTGACCTGACAGTGACCGTTCTCTGCTACTCCACTTTGTTTTTCTAAGGGAAAAGCCAACCAAGAGCGGAAACGAGTCTGCAGGGGAGTCGATGGGACGTGCTGACGTTCCCAGGACCCATTTTAATCAAGGTTCCTGGTTCGTGGATCCCTGTGCTACAGCAATGTACATAAAATGCATTTACAAATCCATGCTGTGTTCATAGGGAGACAGACAAGCTGCCTCAAACATTTGCATAAAACATGGGAGTTATGGCTGAGCCTCTCTGTTAATTTGTCATTTTTCGGCATTAAATCAAAAGGAAACTATCCACCAGGTTCATCCAAATGGAAATGAAACTGACCACGTCATTTCAGCAATCAAGATCAAATAGCGCAAAATTAGCACTCCAAACATTTGTAGACTAATGCTATTAAATGAATAAATATTGTTACCACTTAACGTCAATATGTGGTCCTTGACTTACAACCGGTTGCTTAAAGACAGTTCAAAGTTACAACGGTCTTGGTGAAAGTGATTTACACCCTGTTGTCAAAGTTACGACTGTCACACTGCCTTCATGATCACGTGATCAAATTTGGGAGCTTGGCAACCAGTTCACCTTTCCCGCCGGCTGCAGCCTCTTGCGGTCCCATGATCGGGATTTGTAACCTTTCCAGTCTGTTTCCACCCAGCAACATCAACTGGGGAAGCTGGATTCACTTAACAACTGCAAGATTTACTTAATAACCATGGGGTTTGCTTAACAACCACTGAAGAAATGGCCATAAAATCAAGTTTGGTTATGTGATGACTCATTTAACAACCATATTACTTAGGGACCAAAATCCCAGTCCCAATTGTAGTCATAAATTGAGTAACTGACTTTAGACAATCTCCAAAGCTGAATCTCATGAGTTGCCTGGATGGAAGATCCTGCAAAACCCCAGGGCTCCAGGCTAGACGTAGGAATGGGGAAAAGCTCCCTGGGAAGGGCAGCAGGAAAGCACTTCCATACTGCTGGACACAGATGCCCCCAGGAAGTCCCCAGGCACCCAGCTAGAGTCCCGGGAGTTTTCTCTTGATACCGGTCTGGCTCTTTGGAGGAAGCGCGGGGGGAGAAGGCTCAGCTGCCTGGTATCCAAGCAGAACTACGATCCCCCCCCCCCCAGAACTTGCCACAGCAGCCATGGGCAGGGCCAGTCAAGTGGCAGAATCAGCCACTCCGGGTCTGGCTGTGCTTCTGTTGTAATGTGGGCATGCATCGACTTCCTCTGCAAAACAGCTTCTCCTCCCTGCTGCCACTGGCATTCTCTTGCCCTCTGCCATTCCGAACCCTCATGCAGAACGGCCTTCCTGCTGGGCTCAAAGCCTTCCACTCCACCTGTTCTCCATGGCAATTGCCCACACGGAACTCCCTCGCTCCTCTGGCATCCCCACCCATCCTCCAGCTCTCGTTCTCTGTACAAGGGGGAGAAATTGAGGCAAGGGAGGGGAACGGTTTGAATTCACCCTGGAAGGCAAAACAAAGTGACTCTGCATCAGCTGAGCTGCTATTCAAAACGCCTGCTTTTCTAAACCCAGCAACAGTTTGCACACTGTTAAAAAATGCAATCAGAGAAAACTCACTCCTAATTATGAAACAAAGGTCCAGAAATGTTTGAAAAAAAAACAGATAATATTAGGCAAAACTGCCAGCAACATTTGTTTGGAGAAATCAGCTCACATGTCATTTGGAATGGAAACTTTAAAAAAGATTTCTCAAATTCAACAAAGCAAACCTGATACATTCACAAAATTGACTAACTCAAAAAACCGGAATTTGACAGATTTGGAGAAATGAGACGCTGCCAGGAACAAAAACTGGTATTTAGATCTTTCACCACTGCCGGGTTCCTCCAATGTCAGATGGTCCAACAAGGAAAGGCCAGCCCAGCAACATGCAGGTTCAGTGTTCGGAAAGGGGTTGCAACCCAAATACTGATCTGGGGGAGAGACAAGGTGACTTGCAAGGAATGGTATAAAGAACCTTGGACCACCCCGAGGCTAGATCAGGCCACGGAGGGCCCCGCCCAGCCTTTGGGGTCCCTCCGCAGATGCACCTGGTAGCATCCAAGATGGAGAAGACAGGCCTCTTCTGAGGGGCTCCAGGGCTGGCACTTCAGGGCCCCGGGGCCTCACCTCCACTCCCGCTAAGCTCTGCAGACAGTGACAGAGGAAACCTTTACCGCTGCACTTCCCCTCCATCTCCGGGAACAGCCAGACAGCCTTACCTTCTTCCCACTCTCCGAACCTAAACTGTGCTTGTGCCTTTTCAGGCTCCTGCTGCTCAGCTCGGCTGGAGCCTTCCAGGAGTCTCCGTTGCTGGAATTGGGCCCTTTGGTTGGTGGCGCTTCAGCGTTTGCCACCATGACCAGCCGCCCCGCCTCCTCGGAGCACGTCAGGTGTCGACTCCGGAAGTGCTCATCAGACTCTTTGTCCACCACCAGCAACTGGGTCTCGGTTTCAATTGCTTTGATGCGCTGCACAACCTGGGGAAGGACAGGTGGGCGAAGGGAGAAGAAGAAAGCATCAGAAAGACCCTCAAAAAGAATGGGATTTTGCTTTAAATAACTGGTAAATGAGAATAATAATACCAGGGATATAATAAATTGTCAAATAAGAGAATTTTGGATATGGGATTAAGCATAAAAGATTTGTAACCGATCGATACACTTTCTGTAATTATAATGGATGATGGTTGTTTTAAGTTTTGTTTAAAAATAAAAATAAAAAAATGGGATTTTGCTAAATAGGAAAAAAAAAATCTCCTGAACAGCATTTATAGGAGAGCAGAAATACAGTCCCTTTCAGCTGATATTCAAAACGCAGGGCAGCAACTGTGGTGGTTTTTCCTTTGGCTGGGAAAGTGGCGAAAGGGAGCTTCTCAGGGGAGGTCAGTCTGGCCCCAAGTGCCAAAGAGGAAGGGAGACGCTTGAGGCTGGTTAAATCAATTGCAGTTCTTAGATTCACACGTTGCTCTACATCTGCGGTTCCTAGTTATCCCTTGACGAGGGCCAGGAAGATCTTCCAGCTGCCAAAAAGTTCTCCAGGGTAGAAAGGGAGGACTCCATCAAGCAGCTGGGTCTTTTCCTGGGGTTCGGGCCTTAATAAACCACCCCACAAAAGAGCTTTGTTTTCCTTGAAGACATTTTGCTTCTTGTTCAAGAAGCTTCTCCAGTTCAGTTCCCAGAAAAAACATCAAGCCCTATAAGCTCGGGGCAACCCCATCCGTTCTCTCCACTGCAGGGAAAAGGTTCAGGGACAGACCCCGTCCACAGCATGGCTTGGTATCCTAAAGCTACTTCACCCAACTCAGCATCTGGGGAGGATGCAGACCAATGGTCTGGCACTGTGTGAACCATCCTCCCAACTCTTCCATTTCTGCCTTGAAGACAAAGTTCTGAACCCGGCCCCATGGACGAGGAATTTGGGCCCTCAAATGGGCTCCTCTGCCTGGCCAAGCCAAAAGCCAGTGAGAAGCAACCCCCGCAATGCACCCTTGCAAGCTGCCAGTGCTGCCATCCATAGCTCAACATCCGAAAACCATCTGCTGCCTTTCAGTTGCATTTGCAGATGCCTTTAATTTTCTTAGGACTGGTTCAAACCTTTGCAACACGTTCCCACAACAAGCTGCAAAGGGAGTTTGGAAAGTTCTCCCCCCACAACATATTGCAAGTAGCCCTACCTGATAGGAGAGGCCCACCCCTTCCCTCTGCCTCTTAGAGACTTTCTTAGGCAGAGGTGAAATTGTTTTTTAAGCAGGTGCTAGGTAAGCTGTTCAGTATCTCAAGCAGCGAGTTGAGCATAAAACATTTTAGTAAACGTGGAGAGCACCCAGTCACAGGCGGAATCTGCCTCTGAATCTGGAGTGTGTTTCAGGACTCATTGTGGCCGGAACCAACAGAGCTTTTTTATAGCTGTTGCACCTATAGACAGTGATGACTTACAGCAGCTTTGGATCATCATTAATATTACATGGAGAAAAGCATTTGCTTTGATTAAAGAGAAGGAGCAACTGCCAGGAAGGGCTTTGCACAGCTTCATCTGATGTACCAGTTTTCTATATCAGGCTGCCAGGTCTTCCTCCAGACAGTAACTCATGTTGTGGTGATCTCAAGACTTGACTATTGCAATATGCTCTATGAGGAGCTGCCCTTGAAGACCACTCAGAAGCTCCAACCAGCCCAGAAGGCAGTGATGGGCATGCTCTAATATGCTCATGTAATGCTGCTGTTTTGCCAGCGGCACTAGTTGCCCACACAGCATCTGTCCCCAGGAACCCTGCAGGTCAGTGTGCTTCAGGTTCCTTCAATAAGGCAAGGCTGTCTATTGAGACCCCTCCTCTGGGACAGGCAGACCTGAACAACCCCCTCCCTGCGGGTGTTTGGAAGCGGCCTGAGGCCTGAAGACGTGGCTCTTCACCTGGGTCTTTGCAGAGGCTTTTAATCCAGAAAATGGCGGCCTTCTTTTGTTTCCACCCAGTTTGTTATCCTGTCATCTCTGTCTTCCTTTTTGTTTCCTGTCATTTTTCTTGCCCTCCAAGGGGAAAAAACATTTCGATGAAATTCCATGAGTGGAGCAAGGCATTTCTGCCCCCTCCTTTAATGTCAGGTGGTTATGTGGACGCCCTGCCCTTCACTGCCCTTCACTCTAGGGCTCTGCAGCTTCCCCTTCCTTCAGTCCCACACCCGGCACAAGGGGGCCTTTTTAGTGGCAACACTAAATCTCTCCTCCTGCTGATCTTTGGAAAAAAGATCCCACTCAACTTCTCAACTTTGATGGAGACATTCTGAAGTTGAACAAGCTGGCTGGGAAGAACCTGAAAAAGCTCCTTGGTGACCATCCTGCAGAAGATCCAGAAATGGAGCCTCTGCTTCAAGATGCCCACTTAGGAAGCACCCCAGTTCTCCATAAGAGCCTCCGTCTTATTATCAGTAGGTGCTGCACGGACTCAGATCCACAAGGAATTATGGATTAGAATCTGAGCATTGTGAAATCAGGATCTGAAGAAATGATTCAGGTTGGCTGCACTTTCACTTCTTAATAAGCATGCCTGGAATTGCCCTGAAGACAAGGAAAGAGCCTTGTGGTTTGGAGTCCAAAATGTCAACTGTAAATACAGACATAAACACACATGCCGAGACAGAAACATGCAAAACGTTTCAGCTAAAAGCTGACTGATTAGTGCTATGAGGAAATATTCATTTAGCAGTATCAAAGGAGGAGATCATGGCTCTATGATTTCATGATTCAAGGAGCGATGCTAGCCCAAGAAGTCACTTCTTCTGTTCTTTCCAACAGGGAGCCAGAACCAAGGTTGCTGGGAATTCTGGAACTTGTAGTCCTAATGCATTTGTGGGCCAATGTGACACAAGTTGGGTAAACACACCAAGGTTTACTCAGCCACAACTGCCTGGGTCCACCTGGCACATTAAGCAGGAAATCAGGGTGTGCAAATTATAGTTGCCAGACTTTACAATGCAATTATACAAAGAGGTTTCTCTACCTCTTACCTCTCTAATACAGAGATATCAGTAGAACAACTCAGAAATTAAAACATTCAGGAGAAACCAAATAAACTATATTGTGACTTAAAGAGTTGTGTGAACCGGACTGGGATTCAGAAAAACACTGCCAGATTCAACTAATGGCCTCAAATACATTGCGGATTTTCCAGTTTAATTCCACGGTCACTCATGAACAACCCCTCACCCCGGTGAGCTCTGAACCTCTCAGTTACACTCTGTTTCTCAAGCCTTTACAATTTTGAGCTGTGTGGACTGCAACTCCCAGAATTCCCAAGCCAGCGTGCTTGTTAAAGTCCACAAATGTTAAAGTTGCTGAGGTTGAAAAACCCTGGGCTGCACCATGAAGGAGAATTGGGAAGCCCCTTTGGAGAAAAATCAACAAATGGGTCCCATTCAAGGTCTCAAACTTGCAAAAGCAACACTAGCAGCCAATAGCAATGATGCCACAAGGATGACACACAGCCAGCAGTATTCTCATGCAAAGGCAGCCATTCAGTCCTTGAATCCCCCCTACTTCTGATGCAAGAATGTAAGTCACAACAGCGTTTGCATAATGACATCATCGCACAGAATGGGAGGAAGGGACCTTGGAGGTCTCCTAGTCCTACCCCCTGCTCAAGGCAGGAGCCTTCTGCCATCCCAGTCAAATGATTTATCTCCCCCCCCCCCCCCCCCCGTCACACACCTATGTCTTGGAATGCACCTCTTAATTCTCCCCCGTGTGAGAATTCTGCTGCAGGATCCATTGGTTGTGTTTTCATGATCCCAAACCCAGATTAACAAAGCCAAATGGAATCCAGTTCCCACAATACACTGACTGACAAGCTTCCCAAAGGCATTTTACCTTCATCTGGGGTGCCTTCAAAGCAGCAAGTGAGAACAGAACGAGCTGAAAGTATTGTGGTGTTCCATCCTGCACGTCAGTCCCCAGCACTAGCCCATAAGAACATGCTTTAGCCACCTGCTTATACATTTACAGCTGGGAAAAAGAAAGGGAGGATGCGTCCCCTCCTGGTCACCCAAATGTGGCTGTTGTTCACCCCAAGGCAGACAAGTCCCCCTGTGTGGCTGACAGCAGAAGGCAGCTCTTCCTGCCTTCCTAAGCAGCTCGCCGCTTCCCGCCACCAGTGGTTGTTAGCAGGCACCCTGAGGCCTCCTTTTCTGAGGGACAACCAGGAAGTCTTGATTCCTCTCCTGGTTGGCCGATGGGCATGACTGCAGGTCCGGGGCTGCCCTCTCAGGTACATTCAATGGGAGGGAGATGGGAACGTGAATCAATCCACCCCACTTGACCTTCCATGTCCAAATAAAAGGCCTGGAAAATTTCCAGGGCGGATTTCAATGTGCTCAATTCTCCCCATTAGGCTGATCTCCAACATCAGCCACTCAGCAAACAAGTTTCGGTTAAGCAGAAGTTGCAGAAAGGTGTTTGCAGGGATGCCAGAGGTGCTGCCGAAAGGCGGGAAGGAAGCCTGGAGCCAAGGAAAGCAGAGCGAGGTAAGTGAGACAGTGACAAGCGAGCCACATCCAGAGAGACCACGGTTCTCCTGGGGAGTGGCCACCTGGTCTCTGAATCCCCTCTGAAACGCAGTTAGTCTCCTTGCTGGCAAGAGCTGCGCTATGGACTTAGGCAAAGCAGGGCAAGCTGACTCTCTGCAGCCTCCAGGCCAAAAAGCAGAGTATCAATCAAAGACACAAATCCTCCTCCCCACTCCACACAGACAAGGTCAGCAGCCACTGCTGTCTTTTCCTTCCTTCCTTCCTTCCTTCCTTCCACCTGCTCATTTCTCACTCGTTTGGCCGGCTTCCAGCCCAGGCTCCTGGTCATGAGAACTTCATTAACATCACCCCTTTCATTATAAATGCACCTTCTCCGTCGCCTTGGCTCCCTGCAGCGGATAGCTCAGTTCCCTGTGATTCTGCCCCAAAGGAGGAGGGGAAAGGGCCAGGCCCACCAGCCAGAGGCTCCCTCTCAGCCTAGCCTGCCTCGCAAGGCTGGTGCTGGCAGGGAAAAAAGGTTGGGGTTATGTTAGAAAAGCAGGAGGAAAGGCAGGACCCGACTAAATCATGATAAAGTTGCACAGCCCTGCTCCTCATTCAGGACACTTGATGGATGGCGGCCTGCGTGTGGCCCTCCAGTCTTATAATTTCTCTCCTGACTAAAACATCTCGATTACCACCAAAGAGCTGCTACGGGATGCCTTATTTTGGGATATTATTATGGGATAGCTTATTTATTTTCCGCTTTTGAGGCCAAGCGGCAGGAACCTCAGCCCCAGAGTCCCCCTTGTTTTCTCTCTGAACACAACAGACGTCCTTTAACGCTTCCATCCGCAGAGCCCCAAATGAGACCCCTGCCTGCCCTTTGAAAGCAGCTTTGGGCTCAGCCCCCTCCCCCAGCAGATGCAGAAAAGGAGACTGCTCCCCCCCCCACCAACACTGTCACAAGGGAAGACACACAAGCTTGGCAGATCTAACATGCCCATCAAGCAAACGAGGTTTTGCCCTCTCTAGAGGGGTGGCAAGGAAGCCTCCATGGAGGCCTCTCCTCATTTTAATCTTATACCAACCCTGTCAGTGTCAGTCAGTTTAGGTGACAGAGAGTAACTGGCCAAACTTCCCAATGAGCTCCAGCTGTGTATGGTCTCTCTTCCCAGTCCAGGATCAGCGCTTTATCTGGGACCTTTCTCTTTATTGTGGGCCCAACCCCCAGGAACCCCCAGCCTGTGAATCCTCTCCATTTTCCGGGGCCTTTGGATGGCTCATTTGAGCGGGTCCTCCAGGCACAAGGCTTGTTTTGTTTACACAGCAGGGGAAGGGAGGGCTCCGTTTACATACTAAACTTTCCTGCCGCAAGTCCTCCGAAGCAGCTTGAAGGGAAGGGGGTCCCTCACTTCTCCAGGCTTGAAATGGGGGGGGGGAGGAATCCAGCAGGCTGACATGTTGTTTCTCCCTTCCCTGCGCATGGGTAGTTTCCATGTAAATCCCCCTTAAACCACAGCTGTAGATGCACCCGCCAGGTTTCCTGATCTCCATCACTGCAACAGCCACTGGCACCCAGACACCTCTGGGGATGTTGGGACCGATTTTCCAGAATTCCCAGCCAGTCTGGCTTCCCATGAGAATCCTGGGACCACTCCAAAACCGCCTGCCACCTGAGGCTTAACCTGGCAGGCCCCTCGAGGCCCCTCCCAGAAGTAGCCCCTCTGCCCTGATTTAAAGGTGGAAACAGCCCAGATGTGCAAAAGGGAGATGGCGGGGCCTTTGCGAGAGTTTGGCTCCTGAGCCTCCCAAGCCGAGGCAGGTCCCTCGGCTTGCCTGCCCTGATAACTCAGGGAGGAGCCCGCCAAGACCCTTATCTGCCGGGGGCAGCCGGGCATCTTCCCCGCTCCAAGTGCTCCGGAGCTCCCTTCCGTCGGGGGCCAAAGCGGCCGAAGAGCGGCTGATTCGGGGCCACCCGCGGGTCTGGGGCCCCGGAGTTTGGGTACCGGAGGGGGAGCCGCGGGCGATTCAGGGCTGAGGCGCTCGGAGCCCCCCGCCCGCCGCGCTTTTAAGGGCTCCGGCGGCCCGGCTCTTCCAGCTAGACTGCGCCGCCCGGGGAGGCTCGTCTGCCCGCCCGGCGGACCCACCTGGAGGTGCGTCTCCTTCTCCACGTTGACGCCGTTGACTTCGAGCAGGCGGTCCCCGGCGCGCAGCCCCGCCGCCTCGGCCGGCGAGCCGGGCTCGACCTTGCGGATGAACTGGCCGCTCTTGCCCTTCTCGCCGTGCAGGTGGAAGCCGTAGCCCTGCTCGCCGCGCAGCATCTGGCAGAGGCGCGGCTGGCGGCGGGGCGCGCCCTGCTCCATGGCCGGCCGCCGCTCCTGGCTCCGCTCCGCTCCCGACGGCCCGGCCGGGCGAGCAACAGCCAGCCAGCCAGCGCGGCGGCGCTCGGGAGGCGGGCTCGCCCGCCCCGCCCCGGCCGCCCCCGCGCCCGCCCGCTCCGCAACGGCGCCCACAGCGCCCGCAGGCGGCCAGCGGCCAGGCCGGCCCGCAGCTCCCCGGCTCCGGCGGGGCTGCGCGACCCGCTCCCCGCCCCCTGCGCCAGGACGCCGCCCCGCCCGCCGCCCGGGCAGGCGAGGAGCGGGGCGGAGGCGGGCGGAGCGGAGCGCCTCTGGGCGCGTGCAGAGCGCGGAGCGAGCGAGCGCAGCCCCGCTCTGGCCCCTCCCGCCAGGCACCGGCTGGGAGGAAAAGGGAGCTGCGGCGGCCGGACTCCGCGGCGCATCATCCGTGCAGTTGGGAGCGGAGCCCGAGCCGCCTCCGGCTCTTTCGGGCAAGTCTGGCTTGCGAGGGGGCGGACGGGGCCTCGGCTCCCAGCCTCCTCTCCAGAGTGGCCTGGTTCTTCCGCAGAGCCAGCAAGGGCGGCTAGCTCAATGAAGCGGCGTTGAGCAAAGCAGGGCTCGAAGGAGGCCCTCGGGAGACTTTCCCAAGGCCAACCTGGCTCGGGCTCAGCCTGAGGGGCATCGGAGCCGCCATTCCGGGGCAGCTGAGTAAGTTCAAGCAGCTGCTCTGGGTTTCAACCCCCCCCCCCCGCCAGCCAGGGCTACCTGCAGGGAAGGTGCTTTTGTTCATTCAGAGAACGCCGGGCCCGGAGCCATTGGGCCGTTGAGCGGGAGCTGCTTGGATGCCAGCAAAATACACTGAGACGCTTTTCCGCTGATTCCGCCCCCCCCCCGTCCGCCTTTCGGCAGGTGTCCTGCAGGTGTTCTGTGGCACCCAGAGCAGAGCAGGCAGAAAGGCGGTTTCAGGCTCATTGGGGAGCAACCTGTTCAAAGCGAATTCCTCTCTTGTGGCTTTCAGGCCTCGTCCTGGTCTCAGTCATGCAGCCAACTTAATATCCCAGGGGCTTCGAATGGCTGGGAACAGCCAGGACCCAGTATGCTGGCTAAAACAATTTAGCAGCTGAAAGAAGAGAGATCAGAGGCTGGCAGCTTTGCTGCTATGTCAGCCTGTCATTTTCATACCCTGTAAGCAAACGGGTATTTAAAATAATGCTGTGCCCAAACTCTGCATTGCGGTTTCATTTGTTTTGCCCCTGCAGACGTGGCTTAGGGGGAGATGCCACAGCCTTTATTTTCAATTCCCCTTAGTGGGCTTTTCAACCTACTTTGATTGGTTGGGGATGATGGAGGGTGAAACCGCTGGAGAGAGGATGGAGCAGCGAAAGGCCGAACCGGACCGTCCACTTGCAGACAGCTGGGCTACCGAATCACTTATTACATTCCAAAACATCTTCCTCCAATCCTCAGATTTTCAATTACATTTTCTTCTTGGTCAAAAGAAATTTGAAAAGCAAATTCTCTTTCATCAGACTGATTAAAAATTGGCAGAAAAATAGCATTTGTCTGCATGATGCTAGCAGAATGCAGATTTATGATTACTCTTCTATATGGCTGAAGGAATTCCCCTGCCAAGGCTGGGTAGCTTGCTCCATATTTATTTCGTTATTATTTAATTAATACCTGCCCCCTCCCTATTTTCTGAGAAGTCGAGGAGAGCAACCCCTCTTTCTTGGGAGCATCCCTTAATTTTATCCCAGTCAAATCAGGTTGTCAAGTGAGTTCAAAAGGGGGTCTCTGTTCCCCCAGTCAGGCACATTAATCAGTCATCAGTTTATACTTTGCATCAATTTTAAGACCAAGTGATCAGCAGTTACAAGAGTGCCTCTGTGCACATGCAGAGAGCAGGCCTTTGACTTAGGTAGGGACTTTCAGGGAGTCTGACTTTAGAATCCTCTGGGATCTGCCCTGCATTTCTCTACATCCATGCTATACGGGATGTAGCTGCTTTGGTGCCCACGTGCCAGAGCCTTTCTCCCAATGACAGGAGAGAGCGCAGGACGTGTGCCAGTGGCTCGTCCAGTGGTGCCATGGGTCGACTGTTGCTTTTCTCACAAGACCACATGGGCTTCCCTCCTTTCCCTGGGAAGCAAAAGTCGGGCTGGGCCAAGCCAAGGTTGTCAGCTGCCCTGAGCTGCGAATCCAGGGGCTTTCCTACCCAGGGCAGGCAGCAAGACAGAAATTTCCAAGACGTCTTCTTAGAGGGAAGCTGGGTTAATCTTTTCCCACAACTGCTGGGAAATTCTGCAGCAACCAGTTCCGGCCAGACTCCAATACCTGGTCTGTGTTCCTGCTGGCAGCAGATTGCAAATGGCTATTTACCTTGCCCCTGCCCCTCTTCCTCAGGGTTACATCATTATCCAAAAATATATGGCTGAAATTGTGTAAGTAACAATGACAAGGGGCAGCATTCATTCACTTTGGGCACGGCCAGTTCCTCATGACAGTCCCAAACAGGCATTCAGCCTCCTCAGATCTTGATCCTGCCTTGGGCTTCCAATGCACCAAGCTGGCAGTGCCAAGGAGACGCTTCTGGGTGGCTGGCAAAAAGTGAGGGCAGCTGTGATTGGGCTGATGCAGCTCCTCTCTAGCTGCATCAGCTGGAAGATGACAGGAGCTGCATCATTAAAACTAATCCGACTGGGCCTCAGTCTTGCTCCTTCCAAATTTTAGTCTAGAAGGATGGAGAGAGGGAAAGAGATAGGTAGACAGACAGACAGACAGACAGACAGATCCAGACCCAGATAGGATGTTGGTGAAATTGAAATCGGTGGGAAAGGAGATCACTGAACACTCAGAGCATGGACTCGAGTGTAGAGATGTGGGATCAGCTCAGCTGGGATACCCACTGTGTGAATTGGAGGCTGTATTTTTTTACTGCTCTTATATTTCACCTTTTCTCTAAGATTTAGGGCAATATATGTTAGGATCTATTACAACCCCAAAGCAGCCCTGTAAGATAGGAGAATTAAGAGCACAACTGACCCAAAGTTGGCCAGAGAGCCATAAACTATATGGGGATTTAAACCCCACACCTCAGAATCTTAGGTTATTCCGCTAGCAGGATGAGTTTGAGGCTAGAATGAAGAAAATTGAGAGACTCGTTGCTCACAAGTGACTTGTGAATAACCTAAACAATATTGGATGGAAATTAGTAATACAAAATGTTGAATATTAATGTACAGTTTGGACCAGAAACTTCTCTGATAGTTTTTGGAAAACTCACATGGTGCTTTGTTGTTATATATAATAACAGCAGCGTGATTTTTATATGCTCAGCATTGAAAAGATCCTACACAGCATCCACCCAAACTAATAATTATCTAATTTGAAGTACAGGTAGTGCTTGCCTTAACAACAATTCATTTAGTGTCCAAAATTACAATGGCACTGAAAAACGATCACTACTTATCACCATTTTTCACACGACCATTGCAGCATTCCCCATGGTCACGTGATCAAAATTTGGGCCCTTGGCAACTGACTCACTGACAGTTGCAGTGTCCAGGGTCATGTGATTGTCTTTTGCGACCTGACAAAGTCAGTGGGGGGCTCAGATTCACTTAACAACTGTGTTAGTAACTTAACAACTGTGGCAAGAAAGATCGTAAAATTGGGCAAAACTCATTTAACAAATGTCTCACTTACCAACAGAAATTTTGGGCTCAATTGTGTTTGTAAGATGAGGACTATCTGTATTAGTACTGCTATATACTGCTTTGCTAAGACCACATTTGGAATTCTGCATCCAATTCTGGTCACCACGATGTAAAAAAGATGTTGAGACTCTAGAAAGAGTGCAGAGAAGAGCAACAAAGAGGATTAGGGGACTGGAGGCTAAAACATACAATGAACAGTTGTAGGAACCAGGTATGTCTAATCAGTGGTGAAATCTGAACCGGTTTTCTATCGGTTTGCTGGCTGCACATGCGCACTGCACACCAAAGGCACGCTGCATGCACAGTGCGCACCAAAAGGAGGCTTGGAGAAATAGAAGGGAGGGGGGAATCAGCTGTGGCGCGCAATTTAGCTTTGCTAGAAAGCAGGATTTCTAGTTAAGCCAAACTGCGCTGCACAGCTGATCCCCTCCCCTGCTGTTCTACTTACCTCCCCAAGCCTCCTTTTGCGTAACCCTTTCTAGCAAAACCAAACCCTGCTGCACAGCTGATTGTCGGAAATACCAGTTTGGAGGAACTGGTAGCTTTTTAAACTGCCGGTTCAACCAAACCAATAGCTAACTGCCGGTTCGCCCAAACTGGTAGCTTTTTTTTTACTACCAGTTTGCCCGAACTGGTAGCATTTCACCCCTGTGTCTAGTCTAACAAAGAGAAGGATTAGGGGTGACATGATAGCAGTCTTCCAATATTTGAAGGGCTGTCAACCTATTCTCCAAACCACTTGAGAGCAACCACTTGAGGGCAAGTAACCGATGGAAGTTTAACAAAGAGCGATCCAACCTAGAATTAAGGAGAAATTTCATGACGGTAAGAACAATTCATCAGTGGAACAGTTCATCTCTTGTAGTTGTGGGTGCTCCATAATTGGAGGTATTTAAGAACTTGTCTGCAGTGGTCTAGATCTCCAACTTGAGCAGGTGGTTGGAGTAAAACACCTCGAAGGTCCCTTCCATCTCTGTTATTCTGTTATTCTATAAGAGTTGAATATAAGCATTCTTTATATCCTTCGAAGAAGAAGTTGGAAGTCATTCTTTATATATATTTGTTTTCCTTATACTTTCTATACTCCTGCTTTTTATACTTTTTATACTTTTTCACACTTCTGTCCCTTTCTCTTTTTACTCTATCATTTCCTTTAATTGTTAGACTGTATTTTTATGTCTATGTTGTGTAAAACGTAATGAAATTGTCATGAACATGTAGTGTGAGAGACTCGTGTGCTCTTTCCTACCTCTTAGAAGAAAGATAAACATTAAAAAAATTGAAGCACTGCATTAAAAAACGCCTATGCAATGGAGGAAAAAGTGTGCAAACCTGGATTATTTTCCTGTGGATTCTGTGTTTCCTTGCTGTATCTTAA